ACCACGACCCTTCCCAACCCCTTTATTTTTTCCTGGAACACTTGTTAGCACTAGACTCGCGGAGCACGGATCATGAAAGCTCGGTGTCTTGTCCAAAATCACACAGCTTACTGGTGCCAGAGATGGCGCTCGATTCCATCCATCTGACAAAGATTTCATAAATGCAACACAGACCAGCCTCAGAGGTCTCGGATCACTGGCTTGCAAACTCTTACTGTGCTGTGGGTTTTCCCGCACATCCTTGAATCACAGGTGTCCGTGTTGCTGCTGAACGGCGGCCGGGGGGCTCTGAGTGTCAGTGTTGACATCCCCTGGCCTTTGGTGAGCACAAAAGAGGCTTCCGCGGGAGAGGGCGCCCACTGTTTTTAAGTCCCCCTATAATGCAAAGTTCACCGGAACATAGACGGCTCACCAGTCTCATGCCGGCGTTCCTCTTTTCTCTTACTGTGACTGCTTACTAAAATTGACAGTTCAGGAAATAGAAATGAACTTGGAAAGGACACAGACCGTCAGACCTGAAGTCAGGATGACAACAACATTATGATGATGATAATAATAATGAACATTTGTAGAGCACGTAGCCTGTGCCAGGCACGGCACTCAATACCCCACGTGCATTAACTGATTTAATTACCACAGCACCCATGAGGAGGGTACTATTAGTATCCCCACTTCACAGGGGAAGAAACTGAGGTACCGAGAAGTAACTTAGCTCAAGGTCACACAGCCGGTACTCTCCAGAGTTGGGACGTTAACTCAGTCTGACTTCAGGGTTTCAGCTTTTAATTGTTTTCAACTACCGTGCTACGGAAAGAATGACAGAAATAAGAAAATCCAGCCTTTATGGACCTCATCTGATATGCCCACCAGTCAATCATTCCATTTGGTTCCCCCAACAGCCCCACGAGGTCATCTCCCTCTTGCTGTGATGCCGGTTGCACAGGGGAGGAAACTGAGGCACAGGGAAGTCCAAATGCCCCTCCCCCCAATCATGCCGCTGTATGCAGGGTATAGCCAGGACTGACTGCAGCTCAGGTCCAGAGCTCTTAACTCCTCCATGGCACCAGAAAGTTCCTATAACACACCCTTGAGATGTTTTTTTTTTTCCCCTTTTTAATCTTTGTGGTCATATCTGTAAATAGCCGTGTTTTATCAGGAGAGGCCAAAAAAAACCCCAAAAAATCAAACCCATAAGAAATACATTTCAGCTATAAAAACCCCAGGGTGAACTTAAAGAAAATAAACAACCATGCAAGGCTGAGCGAGGCTGTGAACTTTTCTCTTTTACGTTTATTGTACGTTCGGTGGAGGGGCAGTGTTATCCAAACAGATACAGATCTCAGCCCTGAGCCTTTCGGGGTGACGGCTGTGCCAAAGTTTCTGGAAGTTTATGAAATTAGCTAGAAGAACTTGGGTGAGGAGTGGGCATCCTGGCTTGTCTAAGGCTTGCTCTGTGACCTCACATAAGCCACTCTGTCATGGTGCCTCAGTTTACTCACCTGTAAAATGCTGGGGTGGGCCCCACATAGGTCCTTTTTGATTCTACAAAATTATGATTTTGATTCTTAAGAAGAAAAAACAGACTCATCCCGGTTTCTAATCATGGGCCAATTTCACTATATCAGCATGGTAAGGCCTAAAACTCAATCTTCAGCCTCAATCTTCCTCTTCACTCCCTTCTTGCTCTAAGAAACTAAGCTGGACCATCGCCTTCCATTCTGAAATGCTCAGAGTAGTTCGAGAGTTTATTTCTCCTCTGGATCAACTAAAAAAAAAAAAGTTAATAGGAAGCACATGGGCATGGTGTGTGAGCGTTCTGTGTGTTTGGGTTTGAAAAAAAATACTTAAGGAGGAATATGTCAGGCTTGCAAAATGCCTGGGCTGTCTCAGAGCAGTTTATGGCCATTAGCATCAGACCGAAGGCAGTTAATTGGGACAAAGCCCAGCTGCTGCCCCGGCCCTTCTGGCATCTGGACCCTGAGGATGATAAGAAAATAGCCTGGACTATTCCCATGGCAGGACGGGGACAGAGCAGGCGAGGTTTCTGGGTTTGTGAGGGGCTGGTGGGGACTGAGGTGGGGGGTGGGGCCCTAGGCCGGGGCTTACCCCCGAGAGTCACCTAGATGGAGGGGCAGGATGGTGGGGGCTCTGCAGTGTAACTGCCTGCCTGGCTCAAATCCCACTGCCATGGCCAGGTGACCCCGGGCATGTCACTAACCTCTTTGTGCCTCAGTTTCTCCACCTGTAAGACGGGGGAATGATGGAACTTATATGTCACAGGGGTAACATAAGAGGAACAGTTTATGTGCAGAGCTTAGGACAGCGCCCGGAGTCCTGACGGAGTTCAGGAAATGTCTGCGCTTAGAGGAAGTAGCACAGGGTCTGGGATTCCAGAAACTGGAGTTTGAATCCTAGCTCTGAACTCTTACTGGCTCTGTGACCCTAGGCAAGTCACTTGCCCTCTCTGAGCCTCGCTTTCACTACCTGTCAAAGCAGGGTTGGCGCCCAGCTCACGTGGCTGCTGTAAGGGCTGGAGAAGCAGCGACATTCTTCTGCGCACCCTGGCCGGGGAGGGCTCCGCCACATTGCCGCTCTCACCGCCCTCACTCGCCACACCCCGGACTCCTGCGGGCCCTTGGACACTGCGAGCTTTCCCTGCTCCAGGGCCTTTGCCCTCGCTGCTGGTGCTGCTAGACTGGCTGCCCCGTTTCTATCAGAAGGTCCCTGGCCACCTGGTTAAGGGTGGTCCCCGCCTGGCCATGGTCTAGCACGCCGCTCTGGCTTTGCCAGATTCTGTACTTATCTATTTATTTGGTCATCGATTATCATCCATCTTTCACCATGCGGGAACTGCCTTTGTTGGCCGCCGTGTCCTCAGTGCCTACGAGGGTGCCGGGCATAAAGCTGACACTCAATAATCCAGAATGACTATATTATATATGACTATTATAACTCGCTTATTACGCAGCTGGGGGGCGGGAATGTCAGAATGGGGTAGGGTGGGCTGTGTTTGCTCTTCAGCCTCTGTAACCCTCGGGAGCCCTGAGGCAGTAAGTTAGTTTTCCTTTGAAGAGCTAGGAAGAAACTGGCTCGAAACTGACCCAAAACTGACCCAAATGCAAGTTCAAGTTCAGCGTCTTCACAAGCCTCTATTATTGGGACTGGTGCCATAATTCACTCCCCACTCAGAGAGAGGGGTCCCAGCAGCTTCCCCTGTCTAGTGGGACACAGAAAGGCCACTGTCGGGGACACGCAGGTGGCCGCAGAAGCAGAGGAGGCAGGAGAGCGCAGTGGTTAGGGGCGCGGGCTTCGGAGTGAGGCTGGGGGCTGGGACTCCACTAGGCGCCCAGGAGACGTGACGCAGTCCATCTCCACTAGACTCGCAGTAAAGTCTAAACTCCTTGCTCTGATATTGGACAAATCCCTCTGTGCCTCAGTTTCCTCTTCTGCACATGGGAATAGTTCAGTACTGACACTTTGCAGTGTCATGAAGGTTGTATGAGATGACCCACACAATATCACCTGGCACCTGGCGTGTTCCGTCAAGGTCAATTAATGACATCACCTATGAACTCTGATGCAGACCTTCATGGGAAACCATTCCAAGGGCCCAGCATGAAAGCTCATCACCCCTTTCCCTATGCACATCCCTGAGATCATTCACTGTCCCTTCACGATATTTTTCCCTGAATGGCTGCCCTTGACAACCATTTTTATTGTTTCTTTGATTAAAAAAATTAAAATAAAAAGACAACGACATGACAATACTTATGAGTAATTCTTTTTAAACAAAAGTACAATCAAAGCTGGGCTCGGTGGCATGCATCTGTAGTCCCAACTACTTGGGAGGCTAAGGCAGAAGGATAGCTTGAAGCCAGGAGTTTCAGACCAGCCTGGGCAGCATAGTGAGACCCCATCTCAATAACAAAAAAAGAAAAGTACAATCACTTACCAGCCCACCACCTTGTCATTACACTTTCAGTTTTACATTTTACTTTTCAGACCCCTGATAGTCATTCTTACCACCTAACATGAAGGAGAAGAATAGCAGGAAGGGGATCTCCCAAATTACTGCCACCAGCCCTCTGCTCCATGCAGCAACCCAGCATGCTCCCCGGGGGCATCAGAGCAGAGAAGGGACCTTTGACCCCTGGATGGCAAAAGGGGAGAGGTGGTCCCAGGAGGATCCAGCAAGCCGGTTCTTCATGGCATGTGCAGTGAGGGGCTACACAATGGAGTTCTTTCTTTCCTGTCTAAGGCCACCCTAGGGGGTGCAGAGCCTGGAACCGCCTGCCTGGAATAACAGCTTCTTCACCTGCCTGCCCAATATTCCAGTGCCCGACATTTTTCTGAGTCTCTGCAATAGACTTGTGTGACTTCCATCACACTTAAAATACAAGCCACCTCCTTCCCACAGCCCTCAAGGCTTCGTGTGATGTGGCCCTGCTCTTTCTCCAAGACCCTCCCCTCCTACGTGCCCTCGGACTCTGCTCCAGCCTCGCCGGCCCCCGCTCTGTGCCTCAAACTCATTGAGACATGTCCCTCCATGCAGCTTTTGCGCTGGTCGCTCCCTGGAAGGCCCTTCCCTGCGATGGCCACGTGGCTGGCTCCACTCGCCCTCTGGGTCTTGGTCCAATGCCATCTCTTCAAAGAACCTTCCCCGATGACTTTATCTAAAGTCACAAATCCCACCGCTCTTGACCTCCCAAATGCTCATCACCCTCTATCCCAACACCATGTTATTTGCTCCATTACATCCAAACCCTTCCAAAATTATCCGGCTTATTTGTTGACTTGATCATTGTCAGTTTTTCTTGGCTGCCATGAGGGCAGATCTCATCTATTTGGTCATCTATTTGATCTCATCTATTTAGTCCACTACTGTAACTCTACTCCTAGAGACAGAGCTTGGCACATAGTAGGTGCTCAATAAATCCGCTGAATAAACGAGTGAATGAATGGACACCCTACTCAGAGAGGGGCCACCGTGGCACACTGACCGTGCATCTGGTAGGTGTAGGGGCTCTGTCCAGTGGATGGGGTGCTGAAGCTCGAGCCATAGCTGAGGAATCCACTCTGGCCAGGGGAATGGTTCAAGCTATCTTCTGTCTTGATGCCTTTGAAAAAGGAAAAAAAAAAAAAAAAAAAAAAAAAAACAAAAACCACCAAGGACACATGATTAGGATGAGTGCTTGTCACCCACAGAAGAGCTACCGGAGTCAAGACAGCATGCAATTTTATCAGCCTCCCAGCCAGGAATTGCAAACTGGTGGCTTTTCGGCTTAAGTTAGCCTACAGACACATTTTGCTTGGCCTGCATATTTTAAAGCAAAATCTGAATTAGTAGCTTTTGTTTAAAAATCAGAAGATTATGGAATTATGGCTTCCTGGAGCAAGAAGATGGCCCAGCACCACCATGTCTGCATTCCCATGTGACGACTGGCTGTCCTTAAAGGTTCTCCAATTTGTGTTTCCCAGGTCTCCGCAGATTCCACGCTAGCTCCATGACACTGGGGCTGGTTTCAAGGTGCTATTTTCCCATCGAAATTGTATTTTTTTATGTATATATTCCAGGACACTAACAAAAATGGGGAAGTCAAAGGCAGGCAGGCAGGCAGCCTATACTTCCTGCCTGGCTCTGGAGGTCCGTGGGTTTGCAATCCCCTCCTCCACTGAGTAGCTCTGTGCTTCAATGTCCACTAGGATTTTGGCTGAAGGTGTTAAATGAACCATCTTTCATCTGCAAAGATGATGCCACTTAGCTGTAAGACACACTCTCCGCTCTTCTCATGGGGGGACCTGCTCATCCCAAGGCCACAGTTGCAAATCTGCCTTCTGCTTCAGCCAAACTCTGCGTGCTTCCCCAAAGCACAGGTGCCAGCCCCATGAGCAACCGGCTGGGAGAGGGACTGTGCGGAGATGGGGAGCCGAGTCACCAACAGTCCATTCATGCCCTTTTTATTGAAAATGTAACAAATGCACTGTAGACGATTCCAATATACAGAAGGCACAGGGAAAAATGTCTCTTCTCATCTTGAGCCCAAACCCCAGGTCTTCCTCCCACGGCAACCACTATGACCAGCCTCTGTGTCCCCTTCCAGACAGGCTCTGTGCATCTGCAAGCTGATGTGTATAATATCTACGTACATATAATATGTATAATTCCTTCTTTTAAAAATGGGAGTAGTCTATAAATTCTATTCTGTATTTTCCTATTTTTTTATTACTTCGTACTAGATGATAACAATCACCTTCCGTCACCTTATAAAGTTCTTCCTTATCCTGTATTTATGGCTGTGCAGTATTCTGTTGTGTGGCTTCCCCATCATTTAACCAGTCTCCTATCCATGTACTTTTGGGTGGTTTAGAGATTTTATGACCTATAATCTAAGCTGCAGCCAACATACACACACACGTGCACAACAAATGTATCTTACATTATATGTATACATGCAGAAAATATATGGATATAGATATACTTATATATAATACAGATATGTATTTGCTACAGCTTAGTTTATAGTCATAACACACACACACACATTTTTGTGTTTATGTACAAGTATATCTTTTGAGTAAATTCCAGTGGTTGCAATTGTGGAGTCCAAGGGCAAGAGCATCTTAAATATTCATGGGTGGTGCTAACTGGTGCTCTCTAGATTGCAGGTGGACATTCTCTCCAAACAATGTTTGCGCCTGCTGCCCCTCACCCTGCACCAAATGTATCATCAAACGTCGCTTGTCTCTGTCTGTCTTCTAGGTGTAAACCAGTATCTCGTTGCTGCTTAAAGTTTCATTGCTTTAAAGAACATTTTTAGTTCTGGGGATGGTTTTGCAATTGAGGTTTCCCTCCCTCTCACCCAGTCACTCCCATAGCACAAAAGGATTCTTAGTAAGGTAAGACTGGGTGGATTCTGAGTGGGAAGATCTAGGCTGGAGGGGCTGTTTCATTGCTTGGTGACCTGGAGAGTTTCTCCTGCAACCCTAATCTGGAAGCCTCCTTTCTTACGAAATAAAGGGTTGTCAGGAAATTAGAGGAGGAGGAAAGAATGAACATATGAGGCTCGGAATGAGGCACTTAAAAACACCCACACGGCTCCCTTATCCTCATAACAATCTCGCCCGAACAGGCAATGTTATTTCCCTCAATTTGAAGGCGTGGGAGCTGAGGTTCAGAGAGCCAGTCCACCTGCTTGAGGCCTTGCAACTGGCAGGTAACTCTGAAGTCAAGGTTCCTTATCTTGATGCTTCTCAATAAAAGGCTGGGAATTTATGCAATAGCTGGTATAAGACTTCAGTAACAATAATGACAGCAGCAAGCAATATTGATACAGCACCTTGTTTTTGCTCAGTCCGCTGGGAGTGGTTAGTGTTGCACCAGGTACAGTCAGCCTCCCCGTGCACCTGGAGCAAACTCTAAACTCTGCGCTGACCCCCAAGGCCCTGCATGGGCTCTGCCCACCCCTCTGACCTCACTGCCTTTCCCTGCTTCCCTCAGTCACTCTGCTCAAGCCGTGTTCTCAGCTAGGCTCACGCGTGTTAGTGGCCGAAAGAAAATCCAACATCTGGAATAGCACTGTTGATTCAGCCAGCCAGTGCCCTGATGACAGACTCTAAGTTGGTTCCAGTTTTTACTATCACAACCCAAGATGGAATGGATACACCTCCTGAAGCAGCGTCAGAGTGTTTGTCTTCATTGGATACAAGAAGTGGAATAGCCGCATCAAAAGGTATGGGCATTGTTCATTTTAAATGGCTATAGACAAACTGTAAGAATATCTTTGGCCTCAGGCCCTTTGCACATGCTGTTCTCTCTGCCTATAATGCACATCCCTTCTTCTCCACCGGCCTGTGCCTTTTCATCCTCTGTTTCTCAGCTTAAATGTTGTTTCCTCAGAAAGGCCTTTCATGGCCTAAGCCAGCCCCTGCACGGTGCACAGTTCTTCTCCTGCCTGGCACTCGTCCCAGTTCATTGTTGGACATCTGCCCCCTCAGGCTGGGAGCTCCAGAGGGCAGGGGCTGGGTCTGTCTTGTCCAGGGCAGTATTCTCATCTGTGGCTCTCTGCCTGGCACATAGCAGGTGCTCAAAAAATGCCTGGTGAATGAATGAATATGAAAGAAAGCAAAGTTTTTCACCTCTCCTTTTGTCACTCAAGGAATTGGATCATAAAATTCTAACCCATTAGAAATGGAAGAGAACAGGAATGCGGCAGAGGCACGTGAGGGGTTGAGTCCTGTAAATTTCCCCAGATTGTGGTCCACGCACCAGTCACGAGTTCATGATGAGAAAGGACACACACTGAGACGCAAACATTCAGAAACTTTCATAGTGTCCTGACGCGGCAGTGCCACCCAAGGCCATGTCTCTAGGCTTGCATTTTATATGCTTCTTAAAATTTTTAGATTTAATTTTTTTTGTAATTCATTTTATTTTACTAATGCATCAGTTCGCGATAGATTGGAAATAAAAAAGCAAAACCCGTAAACTAGTCTTTCAAACCAGCTGAGAGGCACTGCTCCTTAGGAGATTGAGTTCAAAGGACATCTAGTCAAGGCTTGGCCTGGGGACAGACTGATCTCATCAGCCCTCCTGTTCCTGTGTCTGATGAATATCGTCACTGCAGAGAGAGAGAGGCCTCTCCGAGATGCTCAGGAACTATCCACAGGTGCCACTGGCTTCCGCTCATCGAAGCAGTGACGTGAGCATGTGCATTTCAGAGTGGGTGTCAGCAGTAGAGACCCACGAGCATGCATGCATGCATTCATTCATTCGTTCATTCTGCAACTCTTTGCTCAGCATCTACAACAACCCAGGAGATACAGAATCTGGACGCTGAAGACACAGCAGTGCCTGGAGCTTATGTTCCAGTGGGAGGAGAGTAACAGCAGAACATTAAGTGAAACGCTGTCTGTAGAACCACACAAATTCTTCCCTGGGTAACAAGGGAGAGAACGTGATTGGTTCCCAGACCCCTGGCATGCTCAGCTGACCAGCTGCACACACGCTGCCCTGCCATCCTATTAACCTCCCACGACCACAATCCTCCAAACACATTGAAGACTTTGGACTCCATTTACAGTCTTAAGCTGCTAGGCAGAAGAATAAAGCGGAGAAAGAAGTAGCAAAGTTGGCTGGAGGGAAGTTGGGATTTGGAGTTTTAAATAGAGTGATCTGGGAGGGTCCTCTGGGCAAGAAGACATTTGAACAAAGACCCAAAGGAGGTGAGGGAGCAAGACTTGCAGATACCTGGGGGGATAGCTGTCCAGGCAGAGGGAACAGTGTGTGCAAAGGCCCTGGGGCAGGACTGTCCTTACTATGTTGGATGAGCAGGCAGCAAGGAGGCCTGTGTGGCTGGAGTGGAGTGAGGGGGGCAGAGAGGGGTGGGCAATGAGGTCAGAGAAGCCATGGAGGTGGGGGCAGGGCAGAAAACCTTTGGCTTTGAGCCTGAGTGAGAGGGTCCCTGGAGGGCTCTGGGCAGAGGACAGACAGGAGATGGCGTGTGTTTAAAATATCAGCAGCCCCTCTATTGATGCAGGTGCCCAGTGATGTGGATTTTGGATCAGCCACTGTGCTGCACGGCTCAGTCCTCATTTCCTGTCCCGGCTCTGTGATATCACTTAGGCAGGTCCCTTGCTCTCTAAGCCTCAGTTTTCTCATGAATATAATGATGGTTTTAGACCAAATTAGTAGTTCCCCATCTCCAATGACTTGGTATCAGTCTTGGTCTTCCAGTATCCCAGGTCACAGATACAATTCATTTCATGCATTTTTTACCATCAACACAATGATTCATTTCATGTCTTTCTTTCTTTCTTTTTTTTTTTTTTAAGAGATAAGGTCTCCCTCTGTCACCCAGGCTGGAGTGCAATGGCATGATCACAGCTCACTGTAACTCCTGAGCTCAAGTGATACTCCCACTTCAGCCTCCTGAGTAGCTGGGACTACAGGCCCTCACCACCTTGCCTGGTTAATTTTTTTAAAAAAATTTTTTATAGAGATGGGGTCTTGCTGTGTTGCCAGGCTGGCCTTGAACTCCTAGCCTAAGGCAATCCTCCTCAAAGTGGCGGGATTGCAGGTGAGTCATGGTGTTCAACCTCATTTTTTTCATGTGTTTTT